CTCCCCATCACTGAAGTCAAGGGGGATGAGAGGAAACAAAATCGTTAGGCTGGAGCTGAAAGCCCATCAGCTTACAGAGGGCTGTGAGTTTCTGTGCTCAGCTCTGACGCACCGGGATGCACAGCACCTCCTGCAAGAGCAAACGCCAGCACCTTGAAACCTCCTTGGCCTGGGGATCTGGAAGCACAATCCCAACATGGACGAATGGGGTTTGAAGGCAAGTAGTTTAGGAGAGTAAATCCCCCTTCAAAAATGCTGGAGGCTGCTTCAGATCCCCCCAACATCCATGTCCAACTCTGAGTTTGCTCCCTGGGAGTGCAGTGGTAGTTTTACAGGCTCCTCTGTACGTTAAGTCATTAGTGCTTTTCCTTTTTGAACATCCTGTTGGTTTATTTAGAAGAGCTAATGGCCATTTTTCACAGGTGCAGACACCCCCTCCTTGGGGCTGACATGTCCAAAGCTAATTTCCTTGGGCTGCAGCATCTGGGAGAGCTGGAAGGGAGCCTGGATTCCCAGCTCCACACTGCTCTGAGCTGCCGCTCCATTGTCTTTGGCGTGCTCAGCATAAGTGGATGTTGAATATGATGCGGGGTCCGATGATCCCCTGCTGTAGCTCCGTAGAGCTCCATGGTGGCAACCAAACTGAGCTCACAGCACAGCTGCAGTTATCCCCAAGATCTTTCTGCACCCAGTGAGCGAACAGTGGCGTTGTGACTTTGGCAGGTCCAGGACCCCATGCTGGGCCATATGCGGTCATGGGGCACTGAAACGGCTCCCAAAGAACCCAAAGATGCTGCTGGGTGTCTTCAGGCATCTCCTTTCCATGATGGAGCAATGAGCCAGGCTCACATGAGGCTGTTAACAGTGCATGTAGTCACTATTCCTTTTTATTATTACATTTGCCTGGTTTTTTGTAGGAACTGGGATGGTGTCTTGCAGAGAGCAAACCTTTGTGGGTATCTGGAAGCACTTAGCTCCCAGCTGATGCTAAGGGGCTGGTAATGATAAGCAGATCTGATTTGTCTCTGATGATGTGGCCAGCAATGCTCTGAGTCATCACTTTAGTCATGCAAGGTTCAGCTAACCCCCTCGCCGGGATTAAGAGGAAGCATCATGGAGAAGGAAAATGTTAGGGCACAGCTGTAAGTAAATACATGGTTTAGGTGGTTTAAAATCAAGGGTTAGACTCATCTCTGGTGTTGTGCTAAGATCACCCACACAAGCAGTGACCGTCCCTTGGCAGATGGGTGGTAGCTCAGGGATGAGGTGGCATCTGGGACACATCCTGCCCCAGAGCACCTCTGCTCTACACCCACCTTCCCATCTGACGGTCGTCCCCTGCCCCAGCTGACCTGCATCGCCATGCCTCGAGGTCTCTCCACCCTCCCAGTTTGTAAATCAGTTTTTGCAATATGGGAGTGCCTTCATCCATCAGGGACTTCAGCATGGCTCGGGTTTATAAACCTGGTCTGCATTGTAACTGGTGGGAACAGGGGGAGGAGGATGGCTGAGACTGGCACTGGATGGGGAGCACAGCCTGCTCCATCCTGGCTGTAATTTTTTTGGCTGCTTGTGCCCTATGCCTCCTTCCAAGGTTGTTTTCCTTCAGTGGGATGTGTTCTTGTTAAAGTAGTTGATGTGAGCTTGGAGGTAGAAGGTGCGGGGAGAGGATGTGAACACCGCACGCGTTATAAATCGGCCCCGGGGGGATGACAAGGGCTTGGGGCTGTGTGACCGCTGCTGATGGCAGCGTTGTTCAGGGCTCATGGTAAGGAGCAAGGGAAGGGGAGAGCAGCATGTGCTCGAGCCTGGCATTTTCTTCCCCTTCTTCCCATCCCTTAAACCCATCTGAAAGTTCATTTCTGAATAAGCCGCATAATGCTCGCTCTGAATATCAACTACTCTGGGGTGAGGAGCACATCTGTAGGCACAGCCAAGCCAAATGTGGGGATGTGTGCGGTGTTTGATTTGCCTCCAATGCAGATTCTCCAACAGATGAATGCATCGTGCGTCGGCTTGTAGCGCGCCATGTGCGTGACTATGGCTCAGAGGAGAAGGAAGAGGAGGAAGGCATCTTTGGATGGTACCAGCACAAATTCCAAGTGGAGTGCTCCTAGGGTCTGATGGGTGGCCTGGATGCATGTAAATCCCACAGGCGATGTGGGTGTTGGGCATTACCTGGTTGTGCCGTGGTTGTAGAGAGCAACCCTGTGCTTTTCCACCTTGCAAACATGTGGAGTTGCACTGGGTGCGTCTTGGAGCCTATGTGTTGGTTTTTATAACATTTCTCTCCTGGTTGTTTACTGTAAAGGGAATTTTCAGCCAAAATTGTGAGTTATCTTTCTTGGTATTATGATGCTGCAGTCTCCTGAGATTCTGATGGCAGGAAGGTTTGTTTTCTGCAGCTTAAAATGGATGTTAAAGGACTATTTCTACCAGGGAAAATGTTTTGGGGTCTAGTTTCCTTGCTAGTTAACAGTTTAAATTGAAAAATCAGTCAATAAGGGGACAATGCATTTTGTAATGGCATCTTTCTCCTGAGGTTGTGGGGAATGCTATGATTAAGCTGAAAATTGAACCCTGTGAAGTTAGTTATGATCCCTGGCAATGGCACAGGGAAGTTATGAGCATGCATTTGCCCAAAGTTTTGTTCTGAGTCAGACGCAGAGCCCAGGAGTCCTGGCACCTGCTTTCTCATGAGGCACATGTAGACTAAGTCCTGCCTCTCCTCTGTGGATGAAATGACATTGTAGAAAACGCAGATTGAATAACTCAGTATTTTGGGGTCACATATGGGTAGACCAAATATATTCACAGGCAGGTACTAGAATCTCTTTAAAATGCAAATTGTTTTCTTGCTAATCTGGATAATTTATTTAACCCAATTTGCATGGAAGTGTATGGTTTTGTTGCTGTACCGCATCTTGCTGATGTACTGCAATGTAAATCGCCCTGAATCCACTGTCACCTTGCATTACCTTCCCCAACGTGATCCAATGTGCAGTGACTGATACAAGCCGACTTCATGTCATAAACTGATGCCTCCCATGGGGAAGCTGAAAGAACACATTTCCTCGTATCCCATAAATGTTTTAAAGAACGGCTTTCCAAGTGATGGGGTGCCAACCCCTTTCACTTTCTGCTTAATAAGCTGTCCCAGAAATAAGGTCCTTCCTCAGCACGTACTGAGCCCTGTAGATGTGAGCAACGTTAGCAGTTGGATGGGGTCTTCTTGCATGTTACAAGATCAAAGCTATTCTGAATCCCTGCTGGGTTTCCTTTCAGCACCCCCATCACTACCTCGTCCCCAGGACATTCACTCTTGTCTTTACAAAATTACAGGCAGAGCCTAGCGAGTAGAGATCACTATTCTGGCAAACGAGCGTTTTGACTCTGCTTATTTTCCCATTGTGTTTCTATGAAGATAAGGACACAGAGAGATTTCAATCAGCGGTGCATATGCTCAGATCAAGCGTATGAAATACAATGAAAAAGGAGAGAGAGCGGCCGCACGTGGTAAAGCTGTCATGCAGGGCTGCGCAGGTACTGCAGTCAACAGTGACATTTTAATAGTAGCCCTTGCATTGATCTGCTTTATTCTGATGGTTTCAGACACCTCTTACACCTAATAATTTAGCAACAGCAACTACATGGAGATCTGGATGCAGTCAGTTCCAGCTGAATTGGAATAAAAAAACAACCACAAAGTCTTACAGTTGCTGATTCTGTTTCCAGCCTTGAAGGAGGGCTAATATATCCACCCATATTAACTGGTCTAATAACGTGTAGGAGGATATGTCTATGGACTGACAGACAAACGAGAGGCCTGCAGACATTGAACTGCCCTGTTCAGACAAGCAGGTATTTTTAAGATCCTTCAGCAGGCATGAATTTCCCTTTTTTTTGCCATTTTCATTAAGCATCACACAAGTTCTCTGAGGGAAAAGTAGTACTTGATACAATGCTCAGATATACTTCAGGCAGCCACATGTCTCATTTACAAAACATACAATGTACTGCAGGGGCTGGGGACCGCACAGGATTAGTTCATTAACGGCGGGAGCCGTCTCCTGTTCCACTAACGGCACCAGAACTGGGTCTGAGCTGCCTGCTCGGCATGCTGAGCACACGGGGCTTTGAAGAGGCAGCTGCTGATGGAAGGCTGAAATGAAATGCCTTGTGGATTCACAACAGTCTGGTTCTTCCCTCTGCGTGTGCTCCCTTCTTCTTGAGGGGCAGGTTGGTCTTAGAAAAGCTGTGCAGAGACCCAGCTGTTCGGTAGCTCTGGAGAGGGGAAGAGCCCCAGCCGTGCTCACAGCTCCTGTCCTCCCACCAAAATTTGTTTTTCTTGAGAAGTGACTTTCCTACAAACTCACCAGGGCTGGGGAACAACCTGTTTATCTCTGTTGGTGCATCACCTGGTCCTGCCTGCAGGTGTGGTTATGCCACAACATGGGCCATTCACTGGGATCATAACACATTTGGGTCTGTAGGTACAATGTTGCTGGTGTATCATAGAATCACAGAATGGTTTGAGTTGGAAGGGACCTTAAAGCCCACCCAGTGCCACCCCCTGCCATGGGCAGGGACACCTCCCACTAGCCCAGGTTGCCCAAAGCCTCATCCAGCCTGGCCTTGAACCCCTCCAGGGATGGGGCACCCACAGCTTCTCTGGGCACCCTGGGCCACTGCCTCACCCCACACACAGGAAAACATTTCTTCCTCACATCTCATCTCAATCTCCCCTCTTTCAGCTTGAAACTGTTACCTTTTGTCCTGTCCCTGCACCCCCTGATCAAGAGCCCCCCATCTCTCCTGTAGCCCCCTTTCAGCACTGGAAGCTGCTCTAAGGTCTCCCCGGAGCCTTCTCTTCTCCAGGTTAAGCAAGCCCAATGCAGGTGCCATAGCGCGTGTATGGGTCCATGATATGCAGCAGATCCAGAGCGGCACATTGGACATGGGTTTAGTAGTGGTACATTGATCTTTTTCTCTCATTCCAGGGGATGGCCAGGTTGATTTTGATGAATTTATGACTATTCTGGGACCTAAGCTGGTATCATCGGAAGGCAGAGATGGCTTTCTGGGAAATACAATAGACAGCATATTCTGGCAGGTAAGTGGTCATTTTTTTTTAAATGCAACTTTAACCAACTCTCAATAGCTTTCAGAAGTGATTTGGTGGGGAGCATAAGATGTTTTACTAGGCATGAATGCTTGTGTAAAGGCTACTGGGATCTGTCTCCCAGTGTACTGTGTAAGACCATCTCATGTTGCTGGGGGGACCTGTTGTCATCTAAGCTCTGTGCAGGAGGAAGGGGAAGAAATTATAGCAGATGAACTTCAGTTGGACACAACAAAGAACCCAATTATGTGTGCAACGTGTTTGGGAGCATTTTGGAATTCATTTTTGAAAGAGAAAAACATTTTTCTCAATGAATCTTTTGAGTTAGGAACCTTGAACCTGTCCGTCAGCTCTCTGAAATGCGCCACTGCTCTACATCCCTTGGCTGTAGTGGAGGGATCCTCCAAGCAGAGCGAGGTGTGCCATGCAGGTCACGTCTGATCAGAGCTTCTGCGGTTAATTCAGGTCCATGGCTGAGGAACATCTGGAGGCATTCAAGAAATGTATACATGTGGTGCTTCAGGACACGGTTTAGTGGGTTAGGTGGTGTCGGGTTGACAGTTGGACTTGATGATGCTTGAGGTCTTCTCCAACCTTAATGATTCTATGATTCTATAACCGTGTTGTGCCAGTGCAAGTTTTACCCATGGTGCTGCCCTGGGGTGGTTTGGTCCTGCCAGTTGCAGGCTTCAGAGGGGAGGCAGGTCTGGCAGCAGGAGCTGCCTTACATCTGTTGTGCAGTGTGATTTTAAACATTAGACTTTCCTGGAAAAGCAAAGACAGTCCAGGCTGTTATGGCAGGGATTAAAAATCTGCCAAAACACAGTGCTGCATGTTTCTTGCCAGTGGATTAAATGTATGGCTTCCTGTGAGATTACTCCTCAGTTCATTGACCATCCAACAGGCTTTGCTTGCTATAAAACTTTGGCTGTTACCAAGTTTATGTGAATCAAGAGTCAACCTGGACATAAGTGTTTTTGTCTTTTTTTACATTGTCCATACTGAATTGGGTGGAGTTTTGTAAAAGTCTATTAAAAGTCTTTTAAAAACTTTTTCCTGGCATGCGATAGAAATAACCCTGGAAATCCTGGTCTGGATTCCAGTACTCAGTCGTCAAAGGAAGAGTTTGGCATTGGTGAAGCCACAGTGGTTTGTTACATACTGGGAGAGGTGAAGAGCTAAATTTGTACCATGAAGGGCAGGACAGTGGCAGTCATGGATATTTTAGTGCCTCCCTTGCACCTTGTGAGCCTCATCCCAGCACACGAGGAACGAGGAGAGGAGTAAGAACCAGTTCATCCCACTGAGCCACTGGTGCCTTCCAGTCCCCCTGGTGAGACTGGTCTCACCAGAGCTGTACCAGAAGCAAAAATAGCCCTTGGAAAAATCAAGCTCATGAGCTGACTTCTTTGATGGGGAAGCAGAGAAGTCTGGAGCTCTCCCTAAAGTTCAGCTTGCAGGTTAACCCACTGCTACTTATGACCCTTCACCCCATGTCAATGCCTGTGGTGGCTTTGCTCAGAGGTCTGCAAGGAAGGGAGGACGTGTGCTCTGGTTTTAGAGCAGCAGGGCTCCTGGACTCAGCTTTTGTGTTGCTCTTTCATGCAGCAGGGACAGTGGCCCTTGTGCCCCCCAGGCTGCAGTGGGGCGAATGAAAAGGATGCGGAGATTTCAACTAACCAGCCTCACGGTGGGAAGGGACAGCCCTGGGGGTTCTCCGCAGGCAGTAAAGCTTTGACTGAATTGCACAAGTGCTCCAGGGCCTTGGAAAAAAAATTTATGGTCTTTTACTTGTAAGGGTAAAAATACATCTCTTTACATAGCACTTTCCTGGATTTCAAAGCCATTGAAGAGAATGCTGCATCTCACATTTCATTTCTCCTGAGGTAGGAGAGCTCTTGAAGAATACAGTAATTTTGCTGCTTATTCCCAAAGATAAAGCAAGGAAAAAACCATGTTAGAGAAGTACTGTTCAGGGAACAGGTTCTCTTTGCCCATTCCTACCTGGCTTTACCCATGCTGTCCGCAGGGTCATAGAATCACAGAACGGTTTGGGTTGGAAGGGACCTTAAAGCCCACCCAGTCCCACCCCCTGCCATGGGCAGGGACACCTCCCACTAGCCCAGGTTGCCCAAAGCCTCATCCAGCCTGGCCTTGAACCCCTCCAGGGATGGGGCATCCACAGCTTCTCTGGGTGGTAAGTCACCTTGTCTTTAAGCATCTGTGTTATCTCCCATGGGATTACACCTGATCTGAAGCAAAGCCCTTTTCAGAACCAGGGCCTGGCTGTGTTTCCCATATCCCCTTGACATGCATATTTCATATTTTCTGTAAAAGAATGACAGGGAGAGGGGGATGAATTTGGGTTGCTGATGGAACACTCCACCCCTGCAGTCATCCCCAGGGAGTGATTTTAAGGAGAGGATGGTGCCCACAAGCCTGTGGTTGCGCATGGTGCTATAGGTGACAAGGGCAGAGAGGGTGGGACAAGAAGGGACAGCTCTGCCTTGGGCAGCTGGCTGAGCAGTGTTAGCATGAACCCTTACCCCAAAGCTGCAGGCAGCAAAATGCATCTTGAAGAGGCTTTTATATCAATCCCAGCGGGAGAGAAAATCCATGTTGGCATCCAGAAAGTGCCTTCCCCTCTTCCACCCTAACAGCTTCCTTCCAGCTGTCACAATCTTGGCTCTCAGGGTATTTTTGCCAAGGGTCCAGCTTTCTATACTGGGGCACTCTGTTCCAAGGGCACCTTAATAACACTTTAAATAGTGCAATGACAGAGTTAAATAACAAACAGCAGCAGAAGGAGAGAGGAATTCAAAGGAACAGGCGAGGGCCTGGAGAAGCCCTTGCAGACGAAGCTGGGAGTGAGTTGGTGGGATACAGGAAGGCGGTTCCAGATGGCAGAAGGATCTTACAACAACAGCAGTGGGGCTGCAGGAGACAGGGAGGGGGTAGAAGTGGTGGAAGAATAGGGAGTAGATCAAGGGATCATGCGTGGAAGAGGCAGAATTGAAATAATGGGGAAAGGGTGCATCCCTCCCATTGCATACATTGCCTAAAGAGCGATGGTCAGCCCAGGAGAAGCAGGATTTGCCTGATATCTGTGTGTTGGCAGGTGGTAGAGACATGAAGGGTCTCTGAGATGCGTTTTCCCTCCTTGATTTCCCATGCGGGCTTTAAATTGAGTCATATTGGTGTGTGTTTACGGCGGCTGACTCTTGCTTTCTCAGGTAGCGGCGATCAGTTCTGCTCCAGTTAGAATGGCTCTCCACGGTCCCGCAGCCCAGTCAGGAGGTATTTACGGGGAGGGAAAAATCATCTCTCCAAATACTATTTCAGGCCAAGTCAATACAGACCAACGATATCAGGAGAGCTGAGCAAACACAGACTCTCCTCCATCTCAGAAAGTGTCTTTCCCAAGCGAGATGCAGCACACACCAAGCACGGTTTTGCAGAGAACATCCCCGGGTGCCTCCTGCTCTGTTTCCAAATGGTTTTTTCATCCTCATGCCAACTGTGTGCACATGGAAGTTAACACGTGCCCGTGCACAGACATCTTTAACTGTCTTAAATGTTTAAGATAGTCTTAAACTGTCCTAAATATTTTTTCTTAAATCCACAACTGTCCGGTAACCATTAGGCAGTCCTCAGAGTGCAGGATCACGCTCAGGAGGAGTTTAAAGGCTGGAAGCACCCAGTGAAACCCTGTTCTCCCTGGTTTGGGGCAGCCCTGCAATGGCAAGCCTACAGCAACGATGCAAACATCCCCTTTGCCTGCTTCCACAGGGTCTGCACTTATTCACAACAAAATGTAAAGAAAAAAAGAGCATAGATGAGATTTGGGGAGCACCTATTGCTTTGGAAGCCAGCAGCAGGAGGTGATTTGGTAGCTGTTGCATGGTCACAGAGATGCTATTTGATGAATTTTCAGGCATGAGGATTTGTTTTTCCAGAGCTCAGGGAATATGAGTCTGGTTCCAGTTACGCACTGAGGGCTGCGTTTGGTACAAGTGAGTTTTGAGGCATTTCCAATGAGTGGTCATTCTGGTCTGTAAAGCAATTTAGATGAAGAGCATTACAGAAAAGATAAATATCACTACCAGTAAATATTAGCTCTTTTTTTTTTTTTTGGCAAGCAGACTCCAAATCTGTCCACTGTGCCCTGCCATTCTGAGCTATGGAGAAGGATGAAAAGAGAGGGGAGAAACTGGGATTTCATATTCATCTACAATTTCTGCCCAGATTGTTGCTAAGTGCAAAGACCTTCAGGCACAAGTGTTAAATAGCTTGCACAGGACGTAGTGTAGTGGATCTCCAGTCCCTGCGGGTAAGCAACAGGAACAGAAGCAATAACAATCTTGGATTATAGGCTTTTAATTAAAATAAACCTTTCAGTCTTGGCTAAAATGCTATTTGAAGTCAGAACAAGTTTGAATGGTTAAACAACAGGGGCTGCATCTGCATCGGATGGAGAATAAATTCCGTACCCAGCGGCACTGATGAGATTATTTTGAAAAGTCAATACTTTGGATGGTGATCATTTGAGAGGCAAAACGCTGCCTGCTGTTTTTTCCCCTCTCTCTTTACTGTGTGCACGTGGAAGCTGCAGGGAACGTCATTTCAGGCAGTGCTAATGCATTGCCTGTGCAAGGATATCTGGAAGCTTTGTCTTGCATGAGGGAACGGCGCTGTATCATCTGCTCGTTCGAGAGTGCCCATTCATCGCGTTAGGTATTGCCCAGTATGATTCACTGGTGTTCAGGAGGAGGCTGGTCCGTTTGGGATAAATAAGGCTACTTTACAGGAGTAGGCAGGCACCAGTTTTTCAGGCTGGGGAGATGCTGCTCAGAGATCTCCTTGTTCCACCACAGTGATGTCTTCTCAGTTTTTGGGGGGACAACAGGACGATCAGGGAGGCAGGTCCTGCAAATGGAGCAGCTCAGCAACAGCTTGTGTTTCCTGAGCTTGGGAGAACTTTTCATCTCTCT